TCGCTTACTAATTTAAAAGTTATAGTATGATAACTATAACAAGTACAAAATAGTTACAAGGTCGGTCCTAGGGACCGAGCCCGTGCTAAAAGAGTTAAGCGGACTGGATATTGTATTCTCTTTTGCTGAATAATTTTAAAAAAACAAGAATCTGCTCAACAGTATAAACCATTACAACAGTATATTTTATTTATCCTCTCTAGTCTATGCTTATTGAAATGTCAATGTAAAACATTTTTTTTTATTGAGTGAGAGAGAAAGACATAGTGTGAATGCAATTACTTTTACTCATACACAGGTTTTTGTTGGAGATCCAATTATTCCATTCCAAAATATCATACACTTAAAACCTGAACAGACATCAGAGACCTATCCTGTAGTACTAGGAAAACACATCTTTTTTCTATCTAACTTAGAGGCAGTTAGTGAGTTTATGGCAGATCCTCAGAACTATCTGTTAGAATCAGTGGGACCACCTGTAAGAATTTGTGCAGCTGTTGTTGGACCTCCCAAATCTGGTAAAACAACATGTGAGTGTATATGTTTCTTCTCAGGTTTATGACTGAAGGGAAGGGGGGCATACTTGCTTTGGAACTTATGAACATCTTTTCATTATACAATTTTGTATGACACCAGTTTGGAAATAGAAAAGTATATTTCTTTCATGAATTATGACCATGTAAAATAATGAAAAATTAATATTCCTAGATTTGAAAATTGAAACACCACATAAGGTTAATGTATGTATCAATACTTGACAGTAATGAGTTTTTGAAGGTTTGTTTGACTTTAATTATCCAAAAAGCTACACAAGGGCTATCTGTGCTCTGTCCATCACAGGTATCAAAACTCGGTTTCTAGTGTTGTAAGTCCGCAGACATACCGCTGTGCTACTGGGGGGCGTTTTTGAAGGCGAATCACTTATTTTGACTTTATTTTTTTGAAATGCAGTTTTATAAAGAAGTTAAAAAAAATACGACTCTGTTGTTTCTTTGATGTTTGAAAGCCATCTTTATCTTACACATATTGCGAACCATGATGTCTGTCCAAGAATTTGTCTGTCTACTGTTTGAAAAGCTATGAATGCAGGTAAAGCTCAACATTCACATTTGAATGGGAGAACAGGCATAAATAATGTTGATGCCAAATTTTATTTTGCAAGCAGGATATTCTACACTAAATTGTTAGGAATTAATCACACTATCATTCACATTTCAAAATGTTATGTAACTTAAAGAATGAAAATGTAGATTTACCGTATGTTATTGTTGAGCAGCTCTTAGCATGACTGAAATGCTCAACAATTACTTTTATTGGTGGTGGTATAAGTAGCTCAGAGCTTTGGCTCTGAGTGAAACCAACAGTGCAACACAATTAACCTTTTTAAAGTCCATGAACTAATTTAAATTGACATATTAACATAAACCTTTCCCATCACTGACAACAGGTACTATCTGTAACAGTACAATTTAGAATTATCAAAAGATAGCCATTTAATAAAAAGGTCTAAACCCTTCAAACACTGTAACAAATGGTAAGTTGTTAGTCACAGAAATTAGGAATTTTTAATACAGTAAATTTTGTTAATGTATCAGAAAACGTGACATCTTTTACAAATTCCAACTTTGTAATTTAGGCACTCAACTTTGTTTTATCAGATATCTGGGTTAAAAAACATGTATAACTTACTTTGAAATGTGTCACAAGATATTTTTGAAATTATATATAGAGGGCATGTTTACTTTCTTACATCATTTCTCTTTTATGTTTTTCTATGAATGCATAGTATTCCTGCAACTTAAAAAATAATCACTCCAGATTTGAATCTAACTGTACAGAAAAACATTAAAATACGAATAAAAGCAGTTAAATCATAAAATCTAAATTATGGTGGAAATGAACATACAAGTAACACAATTCATTGAATTTTTGAATTCTTTTTATGATATACAAGCAAATTGGAATATATAGGCTATCAGTAAGTAACAACACTTGAATATTTAAAAGATGAGAACATCAATTAATGGCAACATGACTATAAGATAATCTTATTGCCAATTATTAAATAAGCTTGTTACGTTTGTGTTCTTGAGTTTGAAACATAGTTTTTAAATACATTCTTCTACAGTGGCACAGAAGTTTGAGAAAATGTACAAGACATCTAGTTTGTCACTTGGCAATTGTGTTGAATATATTTTAAACCATCATCCTAACACTTATCTTGCACTCCAACTGAAACAGCACCTTTGCAAAGGATTGACTGTTTCAGATGAGCTGGCTGTCATGGCCTTAGAGGAAACACTGATGGGAAAGCACAGTACTGTTCGAGGGTAAGTTGCCATTTAACATGCTAAGTATGTGATATTTTGCAAATTACAGCTTTTAATCGATGTTTGTGATAATATCAAATAATATTGGAATTCTCCAATAGTTTTTTATATGGTTTTAGATTAATACTGAATGTTCATGATGTACAGTTGGTTTCATTCACTTATCTGTATACATGGATAGCACCACTAGTGTCAGGCTATGGCAGGGGTAAATTCACTAAAAGACTGCCTACAGCCATTTTACCACTCCCACACAAAGCCCATCCTGCTGTATTATTGTGTTATATGGCTATTATTCTGTAGTAATTTGAATCAAATGCCTTGCTGTTTGGCCTTTAGCTGAAGCAACAAGGGATGTGGCAAGACATTCCACTTGTAAGTATTCATCTTAAGTTTCATATACATCAGTTAAGTGAATTTTATTGATTTTAATGTACAGAGAAGTCATACTATCTGTAATATGTGACAAAAAACACATCAAAGCTGTGTGATAAACTGTATTTAATGTATTTACTTTACCATAACCAAACATGATCACTGTGTACTTGATAAGTTTAAATAATAATATGGTAGAATAAAATTGGTTATTACATGTAACTGTACTGACTGAAAGCCTCATTATCTACACACAATATTACTTATATATAGACCTCTATGCTAAACAATTATGTGCTTGCAATGTTATTGTAATATTTGTTAGTGTAAGATGAAGTTTGTTTTTATGATTACTTCAGAGAATTCATTTATAATTTAAGTATATGTTTTCTTTTATCAGTACATTGTTACATCAATTGCAGAAATATTCATTCTGATATAGTACATTACCTCTGCTATTCTCGTTCAGTGCTACTCTCTATATGTAAAATTTTTTTTCACATGCGATATGTCTTGAGCTCACACATACCTTACAATCGACTGATTCAAATGTGTCCCACATGCAAATCATCATGTAACAACCCTCCACGAATAAGAATGTGACACACTCTTCTTTGTTATTTTTCCTTCGACAGTTAACGACTTTTCCGATAACATTTTCCCAGTTTTTCATATTTTTTTTAAATTGAACACTTGTGTTTGATTTTCAGTTTTGCACAATGAATTCTGAAGTTCAAGTTACTATTTTGTATATCATACCTTCTACTAGCACACTCACACAGGCTACAGGTGGGGGGATGACTCGTCTTTGGATTTATCGGCTATCATCCGTCATGAGACTGATTGTTATATGAGTCAATCTGCTCTCCTGATCTTGTCTCTGTTCCTTCTGAACATGCTGAAGCAGTTTGGGTTGGGAAGGATTTTGACAGCCTTTTTTCTGCCACTTGATTTTACCGTGTCTTCCTATGCCCTTACTGTGGAATCAGCTAGGCCTAATACTGCAATTTTAGACATGATTTCTCAGTTATTTTATATTTCATCCATTTCCCCAATTTCATATGTTCCCCTTCCTCCTCTCAGTATTTGCCCCCCCCCTCCAGATATTAGGGTTCATGCTGAGCATTTTGTTTCTCAGATGGTTGAGGGTGCCAGCATGCCTTGCCCTCCATGAGCCTTGGATCAGTTTGCCTTGGTGTACCATCAAGCTGAATGACCGTTTCTCAACTCTCAACTGTTAGAATCGATTTTGCCCACGTGGGGGGCAGACCCTGATCATCCTGTTCGTTTATTCCATGCTCAATTTTCCTGCCTTCATCTTACCATATTAACTTTCCTATAGTAACTTGTTTACTATCCACCTTCTTTCTGAGGCAATCCACAGAGATCCTGAGGGTTTTTGAGGAATTGCCGCTCCCTGATTACCTCCATGTTGGCACGTCTGTCTTTATTGCCTTACACACGTGGTTTCTCTGTTGTTGGAATTTCTTGGGGAGGGATGCAGCTTTGTTTCAGGTTCACTTACCACCTCCTTATCTCTGGGTTTTACATATGGCCCCTTTTTCTTCAGCAGTATGTTTTTAGTAATATTTCTGAGACTTTGGAATCCAGTGTGGAGTCAGTGTGACACCACACTATCCTTTCTTCTTTGGTGGATTGTTTCTTGCATTCTGAACCTAGACATGCCCCTGTTACTGTTTCCTGTCCAGCTCCTTCTCATCCTTTACCTGTTACTCCCTTCAGAGGTTCCTTATTTCGTCATTTTATTCAATGCAGTTGGACATACTGCCAACAGTACCAGTGATTACCCAATGAGTTCTGGTTCAGTGGGGCTCACTTTTTTGATTTTATTCCTCTTTGGTGATCTTTTGCCACAGTTCTGTGGTTTATTTGGGTTTTATCTAAAGGACTTGTCATACAATTTCTTTTCCTTCCTCTTTTATATCAGATACCCATTTCCTTTCCATTGCCTCGGGATACTACCACCAGTCAGCATTTGTCCGAGGTGGTACAAGATCACCTCTCCCAACAGGCCATCAAATCTGTCAATCATACTTCTCCAGGTTTTTATTCCAGGCTGTTTGTAGTACCCAAAAAAACCAGAGACTGTTGGCCTGTGATCAATTTATCCCACCTCAATCAATTTTTGGTTCTACCCTGATTTACCATGGAGTCTTTTCTCACCCTCAGGTGGGCTTTTTTTCTGAGTTTGTGGATGACCAAAGTAGATGTTGCAAATGCTTACCTGCTTATCCTGATATCTCATCAGTCAAGACGTTATCTTCAGTTCGTTCATCATGGAATAGTTTATCACTTTTGCGCCCTGCCCTTCGGGCTTGCTTTAGTCCCGTATGGATTTTTTTAGGTGGTCAAGGCATTTGCCCCACAGTAATATGCTCTTGGGTTGCACTTTCATCATTACATGGAGAACTGGCTTCTGTTAGCTCATTCCAAACAGGAGTCTACCCATCACAGTCATTGGCTGCTCCTGGAAGCAGCTTGTGTGGGCTGGTTAATCAAATTGGAGAAGTCATTCCTTATACCTACCCAATATCTTTCAACACTCATCTCGGTCTGGCCCAACCTTCTCCTCTTTGACTTCATTCAATGGAGCTTTCAGTTCTTCATGCCCTTACTGCTCCCTCTCTCGTGAGGTTCTATCACTTTTGGGGATATGGTCTTCCATGGAAGCCCTTATCCCCTTGTGTCGAGCACATATATGGTCTCTTCAGTGGACTCTGCATGACCAATGAAACCTTGCACGGGATCCATTGGAGGCTCTTATTTCCCTTCCTCGATCTGCATTGGTGGTTGGATAAACCTCACATGTCGGTGGGTGTTCCACTTCCTTCCCCCTTCATCTGGATTTACATATCTTCACAGATGCTTCCTTTCAGGATTGGGGGCATAAGTCAATCAGCAGGAAGCTTCAGATCAGTGGTCTCTGACCGAAAGATCTTACCATTTCAACATCCTGGAGCTTCTGGCTGTATGTCATGCCTTGGATCATTTTCTTAATCTTCCCAGGAATTGTCTGGTCATGATCCATTCTGATAATTCTACAATGGTGGCTTATTTCAATCACATCTAGGTAGCACCCATTCTCTTTCCCTTTGTGTTCAGACCTTGGATATTTTTTTGAGCCCACACGCTCAGTATTTGTATCATTGTGTGTCATGTTCCAGGTACATTAAATCTTGTTGCAGATTGGCTTTCCTGTTCAGACAAAGTTTATCTGACAGAGTGATCTCTCGATTGTCTTGTTTTCTAGTGGCTATGCCTTTAGTGGGGTACTCCTCGCCTGAATGCTTTTGCCATGTCTCTCAATACTAAATTACCTCTGTTTTGGTCTCCAGTTCCTCATTCTCTTGCTCTGGCTGTCAATGATTTTAGTCAAGATTGGACCAACAAATACCTGTAGTAAACATCTAATATACCCTGTAATGTAATATGATGGGAGTTTATTTTGTTAAAATCCAAACTGCATGCTTTTTGTTAACTTAGATAAAGGAACTAATTTTAGATCTTCGTTTGGTATGTATTTATGAAACCACACTTTATATGTGAGAAGTAGTTAATAAAATTACAAATTATTATCACTTCTCAACTACAGAAAAGTATTTTGATTTCTTATTCTATGACTTTGATTTAAAGAAAAAAAATTTCAATAGAAAGTTCTCATACAACACTATTTAATCAGTCTGTGGGATGACACCAATTGGTTGTGGTAAGATGACTTCAATACAGCACCAGTTAAGCTCTATCCATATATCAATGGCTTCATTGACAAGATAATTATCTAAAGTTCATAGCATTATAGAGAAAATGAAGCTACTAAGCATTTATAAAAACATAACTCATAATTAAATTTGAAAATGGCAACATTAAATTGTCTATAAAATTTATTATTTTTGAAGTTTCTATAATTAAACATATTCCTAAAGCCTTTTTCTCATCTTTGTTAGAATGTTATTCAAGGAATTGACTAAGTATGAAAAAAGCATGAAAAACTTAGGCATTGATGGATGAAAATTCAGTTAATTAATGCAAGTGTATCAGGTTTCACATACGTGTTCTAGTGCAGAGACAATGTTTTCACCCTATGCTGTCGCCATCATTCTAATATTTTAATTGTAGTTACAGCTTATTTTATTTTTTCTTAACATTACGAAAGGTCACTGAATATCCTGTGAAATTATTCTTTTCATAGATCTTAATTCATATGTTCAAGCTGATTCACGTAATGCATCTGCAGTACACTGGTAACTTCTCTGCTAGTATATGACTTTAAAGCATCTATGTAGAAAAAGGAGACTGTTTATAAGGAACCTTATTACACATTTGCAATACACTGGTAACTTCTCTGATAGTATATGACTTCAAAGCATCTATGTAAAAAAAGGAGACTGTTTATAATGAACCTTATTACACATCTGCAATACACTGCTACTATTTGACTTTAAAGCATCTACGTAAAACAATGAGGCTGTTTATAATGACCCTTATTACAATCCCTTAAAGTTCTCCAAAATTGAACTTTGTAATGTCATTCCCCTCAAACTACATAAAACTAACAAAGTTTGTAATGTTTTTATTTATTTTAAAATTACCAGGTCTTCTAAATTATTTTAACAGTAACAAAGGAGATTCAAAACGTTTTGCCTGAAAATTAAACATGTTTGTATGTGAAATTATTATAGATATTTGGCACTATGTCTCAGAATACTGCCTTCTTATTTAATAGCATTGTACCTGCAATCCCATGTAATTGTTTTGTTTCCTTAAACAGGTATGTGCTTGATGGATTTCCTATGACTCAGAAACAAGCTCAGTTAATGTCAGGTCGACATATTATTCCATTTCTTGTGATAGAGCTTCAACTTTCTAGAAATATAGCTTTGTACAGAATGGACCGTGAAACTAACAAACTATCAAAGTAAGGTTAAAGTATTTTAGTTGAGCTTTTTTTCCCTATGTTGCTCAAAAACAAATTTTTTTTTCTCATTTTTTCTAGTTTGAAATTTAATTCTACTTTTATAAACCTAATCATTATTATTTTCGATGATGAGGAACCCCCTTTGAGACTAATAATGGTTGGAGATGGCTTGAATGGGTAATGAAGAAAACTTTAATATAAGTTTAACATAACAGCAAATGTACAACGTTTCAACAAGGTTTTGTACCTGATGATGACAAAACCTTGTCGAAACATTGTACATTTGCTGTTATGTTAAACTTATATTAAAGTTTTTCTTCATTACCCATTCAAGCCGTCTCCAACCATTAACTAATCATTATTAGTTGTAAAAGCACTAATTTTTATAAAGTATAACATTGATATTACTGAATGTAGAGAATTATTTCATAATTGTACTTCGTAACTGGGTCACTTTCAGTCTAAGTATTTTCAACTGGGTTTACGATAATTTTCACAAAGTCATTGGATGAATTAAGCTGTGTATAGCTTGATGTTACTTAATGTGATTACAAAAGCAAACATTGAAAGGCTAAGATAACAAGTAAATTAAAGTTGAAAGTTGTTGAAATAGACAATTTTGTTGTAGAATTGATGAAAAAGCCTGATAACAGTATACAGAAGTGGAATAATAAATATATCATGAAGCACGTTTGTAATTCTTCTTCTTCTTCTCTTGCCAACTTACAACAAAAAGACTTGGTATATTTCACTCAAACCTTTTGTTGAATACTACGTAAGGTACTGCAAAGGTTGTAGGGGTATTGAAAAGTCAATTTGTTTCTTCTGTATTTTATATAAGCTAAAATTCTAGTGTAAATGATGTTATTATTACCCCTTAGAGTTAGCTTTTTTTACAAATATCTGATGTACCTTTAAAAAGCTTAAATACATGGTGAAACAGGAATTACCAGCCAATATTAGATAAACATTAGATGACTACAGTATGTAGATACTCAATGCTTTGTACACTGTACAGTTGGTGTCTTCAGGAAGCCAACCCCTATATTATGTATGAAGTGAAAGAGAAAAAAAAAACAGTACACATAATATTAAATTTTATTACACATACTTTAAAAGACATGAAGGTGTATTTCAAGCGATCTTTTAGGTGTATATTTTTTATTTGAAACGGCTGCTTTTCTACAGGTAAAAGTTTATACGCACTTAGTGGGGGGGTTGTGTTTTAATCTAGGCATGTATTTGTCCATTGCTGTGAATGCTAGAGAATTTAGTTACAAAGATACTATAAATGCTCACTATATTCTCAAACAAATCTCCATGACAATCTCCAGCTACAGCTTAACATTCTACCTCTTGAACTAGTGCGATCAAATAGTCAATAGCTACAGTAAATCATCATGAACCATATCAGCTAGCTACTAGCTGTGTTTAGTATCATTACGAAGTATAAAATTAGCTACCATATAAAGTAATCCTTTGCCCATAGTTGAGCATAAAAATAGCCAGTGAAAACAAGATGAATAAAAATTTGGGAATTTCAAAACTTGCAAATAAGGATCATAAAAAAATAAGGAAACAGAACTGGAAATACAGTAGATGTTATTTACTCAAACTACAAATCTCTATTTTGACTACACCAAATGTAATTCTAGGTAACAGCATGGAGCCAAAATAGGGTTTATAATTTGAGTAAATAATGTCTGTAGTATCTGCAGCCTTGTTTCATTCTTTTTTTATGATCCTTATTTACAGGTTTTTAAATTCCCAATTTTTTATTTATCTTGTTTGATGAGGGAACCTATTTATTTGTCTAAACTTCTGAAAAAATTCTACTTCACTTGGGTAATTGAAAAGGACTTTTAAACTGAGAATGTATGTTGCAAAAGTACATTCTGTTCTTTTTCAGCTACTCAAGAGAAGTTTTTTCAGAAGTTTGGATTGAAAAAAATCTTTTAATCGCCAATTCATCGGATAGATTGTCCCAATTCGAAAAATTTTAACTACAATTTCAGAAATGTTGAACAAGTTATTTCTTTCTAGAGCTTATAAATTATTCTTGTTATTACCATAGTCAGTGTATTGAAGATATTCAATATATAATTAAATAAACATTTAATTTATTTCACATATGAAGGTTTTGGAAATGAATATAGTTTTAATAGATCAAATTAGACATATTTTGTCTTTATAATCTTCAGTGTATGCGAAAAGTGAAAAATGCCTTATAGGTTTGGAATACAGTAGCGTCATGCAAAATTATTCTGTCCTCATATTTTGTTTATATCAAAGTACAGCTTTTATCCTTAATTTAACTATTCAGGTTGTCACTCTGTTTCCATTGTTATACTGCCAATGTTTTTAATACTAATGAAACTGATCAATTTATGACAGTTGGATAATGTTTGATAGCTTTATCATTCTTAATAAGGTGTTAACTTCAAATTGTGTGATAGCTTTTTGCCTGAATACTCATAAGTTTCTTATTAATGTCATCACAGGGTGCAATGAAAGTATTCAATTTATTACCTTTAACTCTCATGTTTCATGATATTTCAAAAAGAATGATATTAATTATTAGATACTCTCAGGTATATTTTCATAGCCCATACGATTTTTGGCCTAAACATAATGGCAAGTTCCTTGTACCCATTCTTGCTATATACAGATATTTAGTCTTCTATAGCCTCATGATTTTTTTTTGCTCTGTCTAGATGAGCTCCAAGCAAACGTTTGTGTTAAATTTCGTTGCAACTTTCAAAAAATTAATTATTCCCAAATAAGTAAATAACAAATCACCATTTATATAAGAGAATATTTTTTGTATGTTTTATTTAGTTTTGCTTTTATTTTTCAGTCTCAAATTACCTGTGCTTCTTGAGCCTTACATATTATCTGTATATTATGACCAGTGGGAGAAAGAAAGAGAAAAAATGTATCAATGGTTTAATGTTCAGTACCATAACTGGGTGACACTCAATGCAAGTTTCTCAATGTGGCGAGTGTGGCATGATGCTCGATATTTCATGTTCAATATTGTGAAGCATATTCAAGAATATCTAGTCAGGATTCGAGAAGGTAATGTTTAAGTTTAAGATTTAGATAGTTTCTGTTGTTTAAATCTGCAATAGAAACTTGTACTTCTGTACAAACAGGCAAGTTATTAAAGCTTGTTTGGCCACAATGTTGTATTTAGATGTTCCACATACAATTAATCTAAAGTGTGAAATAGATACTCTACCGAATCTCATTATTAAATGTAAATAAAGGGATGCAGACAGACAAGGAAAACATTCCTGAAATTGTTTTCTCAAGTTGTGTTTTAACATTAAACTTATGCATTCTAGACAACATTGGTGGTGCTTTAATATTTGGCTCTGTGTTTTGTAGTTTCAGTTCAACTCTGCTGAATATTGTTGAGGTAAGTTAAAACTTGAACTAGTGAAGATTAAATAGCAAACATTGAAATTTATTAAAACTACCAAATGTACTCATGTCTCATGTATTTTACTGATTAATAGGGATGGTTGGACAGCATGTGCGTGCATCATTTGCATTGCAGGTCTACTGAATACATACTTCATGTAGTAAAAGTTGAAATGGCTGTCAACTTCTAAGTGTTCATCCTATTGCATGCCCATTTAAACTCAATTTTTTAAGCATCTTCCTGCCAAATTTCATCAACACTGTTTCAATCATTTCCTCATAACAACTTGTGACACCAGACAGAAGGAAAGTTCTGTTTTATATATATAGAGAGAGACTGAAAGAGTTAATGTAAGGATTTAAAAGAAAGGCTGAATTTTCCACAGTAATGTACCATTGAGGTTTGATAACTATCTGTCTCTTTGGTGGCTCACTTTTCATTGCTTCAGTTTTTCTGTATCTGTTGCAAATCTGTGCATTTTTGTTGTTCTGCAATTTGTGTGAAATCATGGTGTATTACAATATGTTACACTATGTGAATTATAATTTCTTTGTAGGTATAGGTTTAGTATTTTATTTAGGCCTTCGATAATGGCTTCACATCTGGTATTGTAACTTCCTGTTGATTTAGTAATGTAAACCATCCAGGGAAGTGAAGAATTTAACCATGTTTAACCACAAATTTGGATTCACTGGTGATTAGTGCTAATTAGATTTATTATTGTCTTGTAATAGACTTTCATCGGACTGCTTTAGTATTCACCACCAAACTGTTGAGAATTTTGACTATGATTTCCAAGGGAAGTGAAAATAGTTCAGTCACAAGATTGTTACTGGCTCAAAGCTCTTAAAACTTACATAATAAACTGCTAAGGTTCCCTGGCTGAGCCATTGCTTGGATTTTTATACTTAGAGATTGTGTCAACTGAAGTTTCAGTAGTTGTAATCAGGTTCAAATTCTTTTGATTTTTATTCTTCATCCACTGGAGCATTTTTCTGTTAGGTGGATATGTAAACCCATTTTTGTGTTCCCTAAGTAAGGTATGGTATTTTATTTATTTATCATTGCTTTTATTAATATTATTGGTTAAACTAATTAGTATATCAAATTTAATACTTTTATTTTAAATTGTTGTTTGTCATTATACTTTTATTATAAAAATTGTTTTGATTTGTTAGATTAGGATCTTTATGTAGGACTAACCTAAATCTCCTAAGCTGGATGAACCTCATGAAGTTTCTGGCTAAAAATATCATTAACAGTGAGTGTACCCAACTGATGAAACAATACATTCTAATCTTTATACGTAGAAGCATAAAAAAGTATATTTAATTAGCTATAATGATGGCCATATTGAATTTTAATTTTGCTCTAAATAAGTACATAGCTTACTCTGATCAGAAGTTATTATTTTTAGATTTTGATTTGTATGTGTGTTGTTCTTGTTAGTTCAGTATGACACTAATTCCATTATATCTTGTACTTAGTTGACAGTTTTGTTCATTGTTTACTATTACATAATATAGTGTGCCATTCACATTTCTGGAACCATTTCTTTTGGTTATATTGTTTTTGTTTTTCTGTTAGTGCCCATTTTAACATGTGATGAAAAACACTGTAAATTCAAGAGTAGTATCATAACTGCCTAACTTCTACATAGTAGAGTATGCAATTCATAAGAAATTAGGAGTAACAGTATCGGAACACTATTATAAAAACTGTTATCACTAAATAATTTAAAAACTATACTACTTTCCGTTATTTAAGACAAATATCTAGAAACAATCAAATAATCTGTCATCAATACAACATCAGAGCCTTAGTTCAAGAGTTTGTTAGTTTATTATGGATTTCGCGCAAATCTACACGAGGGCTATCTGCGCTAGCCATCCCTAACTTAGCAGTGTAAGACTAGAGGGTAGGCAGCTTCATCACCACCCACCGTCAACTCTTGGGCTACTCTTTTACCAATGAATAGTGGATTGACTGTCACATTATAACACCCCCACAGCTAAAAGGTCGAGCATTTTTGGTGTGAAGGGGAATTCGAACCCACAGATTGCGAGACGAGCACCCTATCCACCTGGTCATGCCGTGCCTAGTTCAAGAGTCAGAGTATTATAACATCTTATAAGTATAAACAGAGTTGTTAGAGCATAAGTGAACAGAAGAGTGGTTTAAATACTTCCAAGCATTACTAGTCTTGTGTTACTTATGTAGTAGTAACTAATATTAACTTCCAATGAAAACAAGCTACCTATTGAGATCAGAATTAAACATAAGTAATGAGCATAGCTAATTAAATTTGACTTTGAAACTATATCATCCATAATGATGGAATGTGAATTGTTTAATGAGCTGGGGACCCTAACCGTTAATGATATTTTTGGCTTTTAAAATTGTATTACTTCTAATGACCTAAAGTACACTAGGACTTACTAATTAATTTTGTTAAAAGGCCATTTACTATTGCATATTTTGTTACTATATTATATACTTGTAATCCTTAGTAACTTACTATAGCCAGTGATTTACTTTCCTAAACATTTATTAATTAATTTTTTTAACATTATTTTTTTTAGGACTTGCTGCTTCAATCTTTCACTTATGCGTGACTCCAACTCAATTAAATGAACGTCTTGGAGAGAGCAGACACTATTGCCTTGTTTCACTGTGCAAAGGTGAACTTTTGGATTGTTCTGGAGATGAAGAACAGAAGTATGTGGCAGAGTACAAGGAGAAATATTATAGATTTTCCTCAGAAGAAACACTGAAAGAGTTTTTAGATAATCCAGAAATATTTGTGTCTAAGTTACATGCCAAGACGGTCTCTCTTCCAGATGAGCTACCACAATGCTGTAGTCCTAATGAAGTGGAGAAATTATGCACAGAAATAGCTTTTAGGGGAGCTTGCCCAGTCACATATGTTACTGGAAATAATAGGTATCAGCATACTTCTTTGGGATGATTGTTTGGTGGATTTTTATAAAATTATTCTTTTTTTTTCTTCTTTACACAAATAACAAACTAATGCAGATACAGTCTACAAATTTTGAAATACAAAGAAATGCTTTAAAATATTGCAAGAAAAAGAGAAATACGTGATCAGTGTTACATAACATGTGACAGTTATTAATTATTTGTTTTTCTCTTACAATGTTTAATTATTATTGTTAGTTTATGAAGTTACCTTTTAAGTTTCAATTCTTCTTGACTAGAACTAACTTTAGATGTTAGTTCTTTACTTGTAAGGTTAGTAAACAGTATAAATTATTATCATAGAGGATTGCTTTAACTGAGTAGATGGAAGGGTTTGTTTTTGAATTGTTACCATGTGACAGAGCTCTTGGTTCTTGATGGCCAAAGACCAAAGTTTCAGTTGAAAGTCAATTTTTCTCTCGTTTAACACATTACTGTACAAAAGGAGTACATTCCACTGTTACTCAGATCTGTCTGCTTGGTCAGTCCAGCCTTCTGTACCATCATCAGGCTCACACTTAATGAATTAAAAGGTATGAGTGCAAGAATATTATCTCTGCATTTCTACTTTTCCACCCAAAAGATCATTATATATATATATGTATATCATTTAAACTTCTTTCTGTGGTATAGGGATGAAGCTTTAGTGAAAGGAAGCATCAAATTTGCTGCAAAATATATTGGGAAGATATACTTAATGGAATCTGAGAGTAAACTTCAGGAATTCCTCAAGTTAGTATTGTAAGCCAGCTGAGCTGACCTTACTCACTTTCCTAAAAACATTACCGAGTTATAAGGATTTAATGATATTGTTATGTTTCAAGAAGTCTGATGTTAAATTGGTGCACATGTGTATATGTTGATTTTGAATTAATATAAATTAATTTAAATGTAAGTGTTTTTGTATAAACCTGAGAATTATTACACTAATTATTATTTTGTTAACTTTGGTAGAAATGTTTGAACTTTTCAACTTTATTATGTGTATAATAATTGTAACTTCAAGCTGTTGTTATAACATGGTGATTAATTGATCAAATGTATGTTTACCCTGTTTGGTCTTAATGATTGTCATCTAGATTTCTTCGAGTCATTAGTTTGTCTTGGTAGTATTTATTTTTTTAGTCAGTCATTTATAATAAATGCACACATGTTAGTGAAAAGTCAACAATGTGAATCTTCTAGTCTCTCGTAACCAGTTGGGTTTGGTTTCAGTTTCAAGCAGTAATTCAAATGAAATGATTATTAACATTAATTTTCAAGCATGTATTTTCAATTCCATTGATAAGTATAATTAAAAAGTACATTGCTGGTTTATTATTTCTTCCTTCTGTTATGACACTATTTCATTCATAGATTCTTTGTTTTTGTATTAATTCTAAACTAGAATATAAAACTAGTACATAACCTATATTAATATATTAGAAGCTGCTGTAACTTTGTTTGCCATAATTCTAGAAATGGAGATTTTTAGTTGTAAAAGGTAAAAATGTTTCCTTTTTTTATGATCATTGTTAATGTTGTTCATGTTCCAGTAACCTTTAAGGTGGTGTTTCATAAAATCTTCATTTGAATCATATAAAGTTTCCTAGTACTTGAGTGTGTTTAATTTGAATTTATATATGTTGAATTTTTGCTGATAGTGAAATTGAATTAGCACACTTGTGTTAATATGTTTTATCAGGTTTCCAAGCTTGTACGGGAAAGCAATGCTTCCCAGTGAATTTTCTTTCCCTCAAGAACCATTGGATCCAAACTCACTGTCAAATGCGGACTATCTGAAACAGATATTTTCTGATATATTGATTAAGACTATGACTTCCCTTACCAGCTCAAAACCAGTTTTCCCTCATTTGGGAGCCAAAGCTTCAGCACTTGTTTATCTGGCTTGGAGTCTGAAAAGTAAATATATGCAAAATTTTGTTCTGTTCTCTTAACTTAAACAGTTGACAAGATAAGAACTCATCAAACATAAATTATAAAACTTCACATGTGCTCTGCCTAAAATTTATAGCCACTGCCAGTTTAAAAAAGTACATAGTAAAAAAAAAAAAATTACAAAGGCCAACATTTGCAACAAAATACAAAATTTTTCCCTTCATTCACCTCATTTCATAAGATGCTCAGAATGATATTCAAGGCACA